AAAATTTTTTTTTTGAGTTGATTGATTCACTCCTCCGATCATAAACAACAAACACTTCCCAGGATATGATCAAGTGATCAGGTGAATCAAACTAAGCAACAAATGCTCTTACAAACAGTCATTGAGTCACAAAGACGCCTACGTAATTCTCTCATGCTTTCGTCCAAGTCAGCACGATCAGCACTCAAAAAAATGATGGAAAGTTTCGCAAGAATACCCCATACTTTTACTTTCCAATGACACCGGAAACACCCGTCACGATGTGATTGCTACATTCCCATGAGAGCCATCTCTCAAGAAAATGAAGTATTTCCCCCTAAATTCCTCCATGAAAACAAAAACAAAAAGCACTGCTTTGACAATTTTAACAGAGTAGACATAGACCAAAGTTTAACTTCGTTGAGGCAATTGAGTGATCGCAAAACTAAATTACAAAAAGCACATCTGATCAACTAATGTTCAATGGTAGTACGTACGAGAAGGAAGCGACAACACCCTCAATATTGGGGAAATGCTATACAGAAAGCATTCGCACATAGCAGTGCACCAGGGGCACATATCCTAATAGTATCAGAGTTCGCAATTATGAGCGTCACTTTCATGTGCATTTTCATCAACGTTCATGGTCAGAACAACAGAAAAACCAACTGTAGTTATCTTCACAAAATTGGGAATTATATAAAACATAAACTGAGCTAAAGGGAACAAACCTCATCTACCCTACTATTCTTAAGTATCGTATCTTTCCCCTTATTCTTATACTGCGTTAAGCGAGAAGAGTCCGTGGGATTCATTGTCCCTGAATATGATAGTAGAAACGCAAAAAGTGAATAATGAGTTACGAGCAAAAATTCTGTTAGAATGTTGGAAGAAAATCACAAAACTCAAAATTGATGTTCGCTTGCAAAAACTTAGAAGAAATGAATAGAATGAAGTAAATAAAAAAGTAAACAGTCTCATGGAATAGAACTTACCTGTTCTTATAGCAAGTCCAACAAGAATAAAGTTTGAGCTTGTCAAATACACGACTTTTTCTAGATTATATATGAAGATGGAGTTACAAATGTGCGAATCAAAAGTATGCTTTGATGGGCGAATAACCCGCATCTGTCTGAAGTGAGTTTATGTCATGAAAATGACTGAGGACACGCCCTAAAGGATTCATGGCATCATAACACCCCCAAGTACAACCACTCACGTTGAATAACAATCGAAACAGAAAGCAGCGGAAGTGCGACGCAATCGTTTTCTATTTACGGTTTTGCTTACAGCCAGTCATGAGATTGCGTTAGAGATCGAATACGAAAAGTAACGAAAAAGAAAACTTCCGACTTTCGCGACTATTTAACGCGGCACCAACACAGACTTGTAAACGTCGTCGTTCTTAACTGGGAGAGATTAGCACTCAACATAGATCCTTTAAGTCGATCTTAGTCCCCAATAAAAAAACACAAATTTTCCAAGAATTAAAAAATGTTCAGTATATAGCACAACGGACTGAGCTTACTCAACCGATCTCCACAGTCGTTTAGCGGCCGTTTGGACACAAGGATCTGTTCTGGCATTTATGTTCGATATTTATCCTTTCCATCTAAGAAAAACATTTTGAACACGACACCTCGACAAAACCTTTGAGACGTAGTGAAGAACACAAGAAGAAATCTGCAGTCCAAAGACGAATATCAGATCTAGCAATTTATGAATATTAAGCGATTCAGACAGCAGAGTTCCTCCGTATACATTCGGCGAAAACATTGACGAAAAGCCCGTTCTCTTTTGACATTTAGGTGATTCACCTTATCGATCTCGTGCTCTAGAAAATTTGGTGCGGAGTTACCTAGTAAATCATTCGTCTCGGGACGCCACGCGAACGGTGTCGACTCGTCCGAGCGATGTCCAACTCGTCATATTTACCCGCAGCTCGTAAAGTCCCTATGTTACGCTAGTGCAGAGAGCCATCAGAATTTTACTAAGTGGATTCTGAAGTTTATAAACGCAAGTAGTTAGATTGGAAACCATTTAAAACTGTCCTGAGATTGTAGAAATCAGTATCACTTACCACTCCAGTCCATCAAACTCAACCATACTAGCGAAAACTCATGTAAGTACCTTTGACATGTGTTTCAAAAGTAGAAAAGGAAGAAGAAACAAGAGGATTTTTCAGCAACAACAAAGAACCCCAAAAGCAACGAATATCCTGAATTTGCTCGATCTTGTAAAAGTAGTGAATACTTGAGCAGGGATTGATTCATTTGTATA